TTTCACTCCATCACCATGTTTCTTCCCTGTAGCATACTATACTCGAGAGCAGATCACAGGCTGAAACCTGGCCCCCAGAAAAGCTCTCTTTGCTTCAGATTAACAGACATGGGGCAACCTGCACTGTACACAAGCTAAGGACATCCTTTCCCATGTGATACAACTCCAGACGTAAGCTTCTACCAGAAACAAAACTGTTTTCTCTTTAATTTGAACATTAGGGGCTGCAGATCATATACCCAGGCTTCCCACCACATCCTTATCCAGGGTCTGCCCACCAACTCATAGAACATGCTCACTCAAATCAGCAGTGGCTTGATTCTGCCTCCCAAAGTGGTGCAGGTGGACTTTGGTGTCACAGAGGGATAAGGCCCTTCTCTGCCTGCATGCCACAATGAAAGCAAAATGACAGAGACAAGGGCCTGTCTTCATAGGGAAAGGGGCCCTGAAGCAAGTCTTGACTAGCACTTGGACACTCAAGGACAGCTTTGCTTGGACCTCGAATTCCATTTTGTTTCCTCAACAACAGCTAACTCGCATGTAACTGTATCTCTACTTCGCTGTGCCTTGATATGGCCCTTTACATCAATAGCACAGACAGCAGAGTGGGGACGAGATCTATGGAAAAGCTAGCTGTCACAGCCTCAACAAGGGGCCAGAGACCTCAAAACAACCAAAGAGGAAGTTGGAATGTCTCTAAATTTGGTCTGACAATCCACTTTTTAAAGAGTGTAGATCAGAACAGATCCCTACAGCTCAGAGAGGGGATAAAAAGTCAAACAACAGGAGAGGAAAGTGGGGAGGCAATAGTATCAGACAGAGCCAGGAGTGGTTAAATGTGTGCTGACCTCTCCAAAGTAGCGTTACATTTGGACTGATTTCTGATTAGAAACTTGAAGACATGGACAGTTTTTACTTCTGTTCTCAGATACTCGAGTCAAAAAGCTAAGGTAACTTTGTTTAAAAAAAAATAAAAAATGGGGCATTTGTTGCTTTTGAAGAAGGAATCTGATCCCGCCTGTGGCTCCGCTCACCCTTGGGCCAGCTCCCAGGTGGTTGTTGACAGATCCTATTAAAGGCCATTTTGTATTGTTTTTAAAACATTGTACATTTGTTCAGATTTTTCATGCTGAAAGACTGTTTGTACTGGAAAAAAAATAAAAACTTCTTGCTGAGGTTTCCAGTATTAAATGATTCCCTTAGAATGAAAGGGAAAAAATTTACAGTATATACCGAGGGCTGAACACAAGACTTGGATTATTGAGAGAGGCAGCTACAATAAGAGACTACTGTGTTATTTCCAGATTAGTTTTGGCCTGAGGCGGGAAGGAAGCTATGTCAAAGGGAGAGCAGGGAAAAATTGTTTGCAACGCAAGTAACTGAAGCTAAGGACTGCAGCAATTGTTACCTGCAGCACATCCAGTAAATGAGTCTTTTGCTAACAGGAATTAGCAACATCCGCCTGGCATGCTCCTGTTATATTGTATAATGAAAGGGATGGGACAGCAGATCCCAGCAGGAGACAGGGAGGGGGTTCTGAAGGACCAGATTGTTCAGGAGACTTCAAACATGCAACTACCCCACCGTGACTCTTAGGGCCTGGTTCTGGAGACAGCTGAGCTCAAAGTCTGCCTCACCATGCAAGCAACTGAGCCCCTGATAGCTCAGATCCTAGGAACACAAAACAGCCCAGAAAGGTGGCAGCTCTTTCTTGTTGTGGGGGAAGAAATCACAGCCTCTGTCAAGGGCAGAAATTAGGTCCTTACACCTATTTGGCCTCCCTCTGGACTGTGGCAATTCTGAGATTCACATTTGCAAGGGGGGGAGGGTGGAAGTCAGTGTGCCTCAAGGCCTGGTCTCCCCTGGCACCACCTTGAAAAGCCCTGACTGGCACAGAAACTCTCCCAGATGAGAATTAGAGGGACAAGAGCCTAATGAAGGCCTGGAAGCCAGGTGTGAA